GGTCTTAGCCCCATAGGTAGGTCACGCTATATTTATTACCTTTGAATTTCATTTCTTGCCTTTAGCATCTTGATTGATTTTCTTTTTCATTTGATCGCAAGGATGACTAGCTTTTCCTTGATCATAAATGCAACACGGAGGTCGTCAAAGAAGAAGAGGAGGGCGATAGGTGAGACAAGCCGCGAGGTCGAAGAGAGGTCGGTGGAAGGTCATCGTGCTGTGTTTGACCTAGAGGAGGGTGGTGACTCAATACAGGCCGACCCTACTCACGTCGCTCCAGTGCAACTAGCGAGCGCATCCCACTTCGATGAGGCGACGACTCCTTACGGCCTACAGGTCCCTCCATTCGTTCCTAGGGTCAACCGCTTGATCATTGATCGGATTCATGACCCATATGTTGCGCTTTGTATGGAAAGGGGTGTTCTCCTTCTCGAAGATGTTTGCGTATATCACGAGCTGGATTCCTTTGAACTCGACGCTTGGATTATTCAAAATGCCATGTAGGTAGAAGTCTTTGAGACACTTGCTCCGTTGCTTTATTTATTCCTTACCGAGCTATTTTCTTGTTCGCATATCAGCTCGTTGGGTCAAGTCATGCCGGATTAGGTCACTGCCTCGAGGTGCGAGTCCCGCAAGATGAGGGCCAACATAGAGACCCTCCAATCTCAGCTAGAGGAGCCCGAGAGGTCAAGGAAGAGGCAACTACTCCAGAGGAGGTAGGTGGTCATGAGAATGCTGACTAGTGGCGAACTCCCCTTTTTTTTTTACTTCTATACACTGAGCGTGCGAGCTCGGTAAAAATTGAATATATTGAAACCTGTTCTCTATTTCGCTGGCTTTATGAAATCTTCTTGAATGGAAATTCTGAAGTCTTCCCTTCTTCTCTATTTCTCCTTTTATCAAGTTGGCAGTGAGATACCGACATCCTTTGAGACCAATTCGAGTGTGGTAGTGGCAGTGTCAAAATGCTGCCAAGCTAGATAGATGGGGGCCGACCTACTTAGATCGGTCTACCTATTTCTGATGTGTTTCGAGGTCGGCTTGAGAGGGCCTTAAGCTGAAAGCGGTTTAGCTTCCCCATAGAGTTCGGCTTGACCAAGTCACCAAAGTGGGTGGTCATTCTGTAGTAGCTTTAAACATGACTACATCTATGCCATCACGTGGGAGTGACTCTCCTGGGTCTGCGTTCATAGGTCAATGCCCCACATGTACTGCACCTACTCCTGGAACTATCGGCCATTTACTCCTACTAAAGCCATGTAGGGCTTACCTTGAGGGGGTGGCTCTACTGTCCACAGGTTGCCTACTCTCAAGGGATCCATGAAAGCTTTGACTTGTGAGGCCAGCTCCACAGCCAGCCAGCTGCCAACTCTCATGAATCCATGGAGGGTTCGATTAGTAGTGAAACTTTATAGTTAGGGCTGGGAGACTATCTGGGCTAGTTCGTTGAAGCTTACCCAGGCTGGTCATTCAAATCCTACCCCCTTTTGATAGCATCATCGATACGTGTGTTGCTGCCGACGTTAGATGGTAGGTTGGTGCTACGGCTACACTACGTCAGCCTTGAGAAACGCTAGTCGTCTACTCCTGCGGTAGCCACAAGGAGCTCAACCTGTGGGGGCAGCTCTACTAATTGTAGGTCGCCCACTCGCACGGGAGTCTTGAAAGGTTCGACCCACAAGGGCGACTGCATAGTCCGTTGATCATCAACTCCCACGGGAGCCACAAAGGGCTCGACCTGTAGAAGCAACCTCATGAACTGGACTGACAAGGCTCGTCTGGGCTGATGTTGAGTGCGAATTTGAAATGAGAGTTGAGAACCTACCTTTTAAGTAGTGGTTCCCAAAGACGATGCCAATTGATGATGCACGATCTAACAGCTCCTTGCTGGAAAGCAACTCGGATGTTGAGCTAACAAGTTCATCGGGTCAACTTGCAAAAAGACAGTATCAAAGTAACTGAGCTGCTTTACCTGAGGTGGACTCTTCGATACTTAAGTCAGCAAACTGGAGATTTTGAAGAGAGCTAAAAAGCAAAAGAGCTAGAAAGTTGCGAGAGCTAAATTGTGCATACCTCTTGAAGTTGGAAATGAGACCTTTATATAGATATTGTTTGGCGTCAGATCCACGCATTGTGTCCATGATCTCCAAGAATATGTGGCTGACTGGTCCGAATTCCTCGGAGGTAGTTTCGCACGTAGACTAGGCTTTTGTACTTTCCTCTGGAACATTCGGTACGATAACTAACTTCTGGGAGATCCGGGAGTGACGAGATGCACGTAGAGAAAGTTAACGAGCACATCTCACATGTCGCCACTCGGACCTCAGTTAGGTTGGCAAGTGAGATATTCTTTATATGAGATGTTCCTAATGCATAGTGAACTATGCATGTGAGGTCGGCGTGAGGCGCCCTGTGTGAGGAGTAAGATCCCAATTCGGTTTTGGATGGATTTAGATGGATTAGATAAGGGAATCCGGTGGGATTTTACATGGCAGAAATATCTCAGCCCAAACCTCAGAACTCAAATGAAATAACGGTAACCCCTAGCTCTGACCTCTGAGTGACGCGGTTATTCGATAAGAGCATTAGATGGGGCACAATTGCACAAAGCATGTTTGCTAGGCTTTTAAACAGGTTAGGATGGGCCGGTTATTCGATAAGACCTTTACATGTGGGCTGATCTTCTACCCAGCTGTCCAATATTCAGTTAGCCGAGCCCACCCCCCTGGTTCTGAACCACACAATTCAGGAGTTACAAACCTGGGAGGAATAAACGAATAGTTACGTATGAAAGCTCAGTTGATGTAATCATGCTCTATTAAATATATATTGCCATAAAAGGAAGCAATAAAGAGCTGTTTAATGATAATCAACTAGAGAACTGATATAAAAGTCAAGTTGATTCGGTTATAAACAATATATTGTGCTTTTGGGTTATCTGGTTAGACCAAGGGATGTTGGACCTAGCTGAATTGAACCACATTAAATTTGTCCGGCTTTAACTGAGGATGAAGCCTGACGGATGACGGCTAAATAAATATACAGCATTTAGCCTATAGGGGCGGTGAGACACAGCTCCATGCATCTCTGGAGTCTGGACCATATTTTATTTAATATTCTTAAGTTAAACGTCAGAACGTGATATGTCTCGGTTCAAACTTCAAACCGGTAATCAAACTCGATCGGTCCTACCCAATCCACATTCAGCAGCTGGTGATGGGTTTGGCCGTTCGGGTCCAGAGTTAGCAGACTGGATTAAGCTTGACCTAACCTCGGCCCAGACCAGAGTTGCAGGGATCTCAGATCTGAGGAAACGATCAGGGTTTCTAAAGGTGGTATATTATGTAAAATCAATGTGCGAATCGTAGGATTGGAATCATATATTATATTTAAATAAAAGAAGGTAAAGATGGAGTAATAAATGGTTTTCAGACATGTATTCAGTAGTATTCACGCTGTGAATCTGATTCAGATATAGAGACAGCTGGCCTACCTTTCCTCATCAAGGGAGGAGATGTCGAGTCGTGGTTTGAGGAAATGCCGGTGGGGTCGAGTGACAGTCTTACCCAATAGAATAATAAGTGACGTGTCACCCACAGATCCGTGTCGGCAACGAAACCTCCTAATTCGTAAGACACTGAGATCTCGCCTCGCCACATTACTGGCCTCAACTCAACTCCCAACCCCAAAAGAGAAACAAAAAAACTGAAAAAGGAGGAAACGAAATAGAGCGAGAGGAGGAGGTAGAGAGAGGTTACTAAAAACCACAAAAGCTGTGCGCTAAGCGTCCATCTCGCCAACGTTGTCTCTCATCCATCCACCCGAAGCCAAAGGCCGAAGCCTCCAAAGGAGGAGAATCCCCCTTCATACCGTTTGACGGCAAGACGGGATGGCTCCCCGTCTCTTAGCTTGCTTCCAACGAAGATCGGTTTCTTCATCGACGACCTCGACGGCGGAAAATGCGACCGCCGACCAGGCGTCGGAGGAGCAGAGAAGGGGAGGAGCCATACTAGTTGAGCTATTCTCGTCGCAGGGATGCGCCACGTCGCCGGAGGCGGAGCTGTTAATATCGAGGCTCGGGAGGGGAGATTTCGAGCTGGAGGTACCGGTAATTATTCTGGCTTACCACGTCGATTACTGGGATTATATGGGTTGGAAGGACCCGTTCGGATCCAGCCAGTGTACCGTCAGGCAGAAGGCTTACGCCGAAGCATTGAAGCTGGACACTATGTTCACGCCCCAGGTGGTGGTTCAGGGCAGGACCCAGTGCGTTGGCACCGATCAAGAGGCTCTGCTCTCTAACATCACATCAGCCGTTCGATTCGCATCTCCAAGCTTTCAGGTTAGAGTCCTACGAATACGATCACATCTTTTTCTCTTTCTCTTTCTCTTTGTTTTAGATTTTAGTTTTACTACTACTATCTGCATGCAATCAAAATCCCTAATGCAACCTTGGATTTCTCCAAAAACTGATAAAAACTGTACTTAAGATATTAATGGAAATTATGTAGGTTTTGGTTTTGGGTAATATTGGCACGTTCATACCATTTTTTTAGCAAATGTTTATTGTTTTGGGATCCTTTCCAGGGGCACATATATTTGGTTTTTGGTTCACTTCATTATTAATCACTAGTTAGCTGATATATGTGGTGTTTGGATGCCACCAACAAAACTGATTATTTCTTCCATTCGAGAACAGAGTTCTCCATTTAGACTTTAGAGCAATGGATGACAACACATTATAGTTTCATTTGAGAATCTAATGGAATGATATGGTTACCCAGTCATCTTTTTGTTTTCTTTTACCAACAAAAAATCCGAGCATTTTATTATTGTCGGTGGTGATATTTTAGTTTAGTAACATCATTTATTTATTTAAATCTTGTTAATGCTATGAATACGTCCCTTTTAAAGAGAGAAAGAAGACGAACTTGGTTTTTGTTTTTTTTTTTTTTTTAAATTTTGATTTGAAGTTAAAGGTCCGTAGCTGCCACGAGTCGTGTGGCTAACATTCGGTGGGGGGTGGGCCGGTGGGGATGCTGACCTTGTGCGGTTGCTCTTACAAAATTAGGGAAACCGACTCTTCCACAGCTGGCGCTGGACAAAGACAACCAAATGGGTGATTCAGGGTTAATTAGCGAGGGTGTCAACATCGTTAGGTGCGGAGTTCAGGTGTGGATTCACCTAACACACAAGTTGCCAACCAAATCCACCTTCCAAAGTTCCAAGTGGACCATCCTTTTCAATTTCTTTTATTTAAAATAAAACTATTAATGGAACATTTTGAGATCTGATCTTACAAGGGTATCTAACTTAACTTAATCGGGAGGTGCTGCATGTGAAAAAATTCTATAAATCATATAAGAAAAAAAGAAAAAAAGAAAAGTTGAGAATTAGTAAAGGAAAGCAGCCTGCTAGGCTGTTAGTGAAGAGCAGAGACCTCCAGGATTCAACAAATGCTCCATGTGCTCATCATACATACACATTACACACAACCCTCCACGTGGCTAAAACAGAAGATGCCTTCTAATAAAAAATATTTAAATAACCCCCTCCAAAAAGGCTAAAGAAAAAGAAACAATTTTTTTTTTTTTTCATTCATAAAAAATATGCTTCACTAAATTATAGAATCCTGCTAGTAGATGAATGTTATTGTAGTAGTGTAATATTTGGATTTAGGAGGAGGAATTGATTTTCAGGCATTTATGAGAGATGCAAATTGACAAATTTTGGGTATTTGCATTGGAGCAGGCTACATTTCAAAGGCCGTCTGCAGACATATTGCAGGTGAGCCTAACAGGAGCTCTAAGGACAAAGGTGGATAGTCAGGGTGCCAGCGTAATGGTGGCCTTGTATGAGAATGGGCTGGTCACCAACTGCCCCAAGGGAGAGAACCGAGGTCGTGTTCTCTCCAATGATTTTGTTGTTCGGAAACTAGAGAAACTGTGCAATGTCAAGGACATTTCGGCCAAGAAAACCATCTCTGGGACTGTTAACTTCTCTTTGTGGGAAGGCTTTAGCAGCAGCAAATGTGGTATTGCAGTCTTCGTTCAGAACAGCTCCTTCCACACTTTTGGTTCCCAGAACTTCCAATTACCAGATAACCTTTGAAGCTTGAAAGCTGGATATATATATATATATATATATCCCGCCGGTTTCCTCCTTACCCATCGTATTCTGGCCATGACATCTGATCGCTGTGTACAGGGATAGGGATGCGCCCTTGTAGTTAAGGGCCATATGCGATTATTGTATCCTTATTCTTCCTCTTTCTCTCTGTTTTTCCTGGATTGTTTTTCTTTTTTTGGTTTGTTTTTTCTTAGCAAGTGCAGGGGAGATTAGGAATTGACCCCTGGTGGAATTAGGATTGGAATACTGTTCTGAATTTAGTTCGTGGGAGAGGAGAGACACAGACATGTATTCTTATGTCTTCTCTTATTATTGTTATATTTTTTTTTACCATATTGGAGGTTATATTATTTGTATCATTGTTGACTGGGGTTTATGATACCGGAAGAAATTTCACCAATCAAAACGTTTGAATGTTGATGAAAACAAGTAGACTGGTGATATCTAGGGGTGTCAATTAGATTGGATTTGGTTTAATCCGATCTGGTCCAGTATGAGTTTATTGTCTAATCTAATAAAAAATGCAGGTCACTCGTCAGAATGGTGGTGTTGCGGCGGAGGCGTCATGTTTGTACAATGTTACAATTATTTATAGTTATTTAATACATATGAGAGCCATTAGGCACCATATAGGATTAGGAGAATACACCTAAGCAGCAAACATGTAAATAATGTTTCCTCCAAAAATAACTTTCACATACATTAGTTTTGTTTGAATCCGCTCAATTAAACATGATTTTGGCTAATGCATATGTGCTACTTATATGAAGATGGAATGGCTTTCCAGCACCACAAAACTAAACACCACGCAAATGTAAAAGAAAACCAAAAATGCCAAGTATTAGCTTATGAGACGATGAAATGGCTTTCCAGAAAATCAATCATGCAAATTAGACGAAACTTTAGTCAAGGTAGGGAAAGGGCTTTCTACTGCTTACGTTTTGCTAATGCAACCAAAGCACGAGAGGGATACTGAAAACGGATATCCGATAAATAAATACTTAAAATCATCCAAAGAGCATGATGTGGACCAAGATAACATTGTCATTTTGTTCAAACCCTGCTTATCAGGAGGTTCTGATATAATGCTATTTTCTGGTTGGGTTTGTAAGATCAATAAATACATCCCGGTGTGTGCTAAAGTAAACTTAGGGATGCAAATGGAATGGATTAGATTCAAATCCGATCCGACATTGTTTATGTTGGATTCAATTTGATCGGATCTGATAATTATTTTCATCATATATACATATTTTTATAAAAAATAAATAAATAATATAACAAATTTATAAAAATATATATATTTATAAATAAATAACATATATATGTAATATATATTTATTTATTTATATTTATAAATATATAATATATCATATCAAATCTTCAAGGATCGGATAGAGAGATATGAATCCGATCCAATTTTTGATTGGATCTTATTATCTGATCCGAAGATCTAAACAGGAGTGATCTAAATTTGACCAAATAGAATCGGATCTCGGATTGGATCATCATTTGCACCCCCTAGTTAAACCTACCTTTTTGTTGAGTTGGGCCTTCTAAAAATTTTGGACTGGGTTTTGGACGAAAAAATTAGAAGTGGGTTGAGTTTCTGCCGAGACTTCGGTAAACATAACTCAACCCAAGCCTGATTGAGAAATTCGAAATTCCCATGACCATATATTACAGGTTTCTCTTCTAATCACCAATAGACAAGAGACAGACAGTTGAGGAAAAGTTTGACCGGGCGAACTGAGAAAAAAGAAAGTTACAGTACAAGTAATTCTAGATGATAAAGTAGTTTGTGATTGTCTGTTATAGCTTTTATGAAATTTGGAATCGAGTGAGTAGGTGTGGGTAAATTTTTTTGTTAATTTATTAATTAGAAAGATTTTGAATCTGAATTTTGAATGAAAATGGAGGGAAAGGTAGGAAGACCTATACAAGATTTGTAAAGGCTTTTCTACCTTTCCCTTTCCTTCCCTACTTTTCCCTCAAACTAAACACAGTCTTGAAGCAATTGAGTTGATTTAATGGATATAGGATTTGGATGGTGTTTGGTAGAGTGGGCTTTTATTGGGCCCAATTTTCTAGAAGAAACACTCATGCCCAATGGAAGCAATGAGCATCATATTTTTGGGTTATATTGTGGCACAGTATGGAAATAAATCACATTTAGAGAAGCTTTAAAGAAAAGAGCAAAAGCCAAATGAAATAAAAAGAACAACTCTTCACTAAATACTTAAGAGAAAATTAACAAAAAGCTTTCCTAGCTTTGCCCTAGTTACTCTTTATATAGACTTGCATAAGTTTCCTAATCTAGTAGAACACTCCTTATTATAATCCTACTAAATCTTTTCAAAAAGAATGTCTTAATTGAATACGAATTCAGAAATCTTACTATAACGCTAATTTGGTGAATGCGAACTAAGATAGAAGTTCCGCGTTGACGCTAACTTAGTAAATTCAAACAAAGATAAAAATTTTGTGCTGGAGCTAACTTGGTAATTAATTACTCAGATCAATAACGTCATTTTAGCTTCTTATGTGTCTTGGAGCGATCCCAACATGTATAGAACTTATTATCTTTTTCTGTATTGCATCATTCTCCCCTTATACATAATAAGATGGGTCTTTGAAAACCAACTTTGTATATATTTACTCAGTTGGTCCAAATTTCGTACTACATATTGTTTGGAATCGCTTATGCTACATAGGCATTTTTTGTGTGTGCTTTTTTGTTTGATTAAGCATTTTTCATGATCATTTTTCAATTGCTGGTGATTCAATATGGGTTATTCATGGTTATCTTGTTATCATAAGCAATTATTTTAGAGTATCCTCCAACAAATGAGCGTTCTTCAAGAGTCTTAGACTTTTTGGGTCCTTCTAGTGCTTTGACAACCACACTGAACTCAGATCATTTCAATTCCAAAGGGACGATCACTTCTTTAGAAGTTTTTATTAAGAGGAGTTGAATCTCTCATGGCTGCTGCAGTGGGCCAGGGCAGGGCCCCTCTTCATCTGCCGCTGCTATGAAACCAAGATCTTATACTTTCGTGGTTGCAGAGACATGTGCTATTTAACAGATCCACATCGGAGTTAAACCTCCTTTTTTCACCCAATATGGTGAACCTACAATTCTTTTATAGACGATGAAATTGAAAAAGGCTTGTGGGTTGTTTAGGTTTTCCTTGATTACAAGTGTTCATATGACAGGCCCTCAATACTAGAAATTAAATCCTTACTCTTAGCCCATTTTGTTTTGCAAAAAGATGTGGTCATTTTTGTGATTGATTTCACACACCTCTTTCGGTTTCAATGCGAAGAAGACATTTTGAAGGTTCAGCTTAGAGAGGTTATTTATCTCAAGGGATTCTTATTTCAGTTCTTCAAGTGGTTTCTGTTTTTTAACCCTAATGACAATCCCACCGTCCCCCCTATCAGGATTAATCTTCCAAAGCTGCCTATCTATCTATATGGCGAGGATTTCATCAAATTAATTGTAGGCAAAGTTGGAAAAAGACGATTTCTTTCATCATATTGTTTATGGGAACATTCCTAGCTATTATAACAAGTGTCATAAAATTGGCCATATTCAAAGAGATTGTAAGAAAATGGAAAAGGAAAGAAAGGAAAATAAAGTGATTGAAGAGAACAAAGAAATTAATGAGAAGAAATATCTCAATGTTGAGAATGGTGGTCCCCTTAAAGAGAAAGAAAAAGTGAAGGAGATGGCAAAACCAAGAAGGATTGAATGCCAAGAGTGGAGACCAACTGGTGTTGTCAATAAATTTGGCATCATTAGCTCGCCAAGTAAATTAGGGCGGTGTTTGGTATCGATGTTGTTTTCTGAGAAAACAATGCCACAATGGGAAAGTATGGTATGAAGAAACGTCAAATTCAATGTTTTCTCAAAAAGCAACTCGTTGCTACTAATGGTGCAATGACGTAGCATCATCTTGGGCATTGAATAATGTAGACTAATGCTGAAAACGGTTATGCAACACTGGTACCAAACAAAACCAGCATTGTTTTCTTAGAAAACAGCTTATGTGGCAGCATCAATGCCAAACAAAAAAGGAGCTGTTTTCTAAGAAAATGGTGCAACAGACCCTCATGCATACATCATCGTTTCTTAGAAAATGTCTCTAAAGCAACAGAGTCAATGCCAAACACCTACTAGATGAGGGCCTAGTTGTTGAGGTCTCTTAGTCTCCAACTTCAATTAATATATCTTGTTCTAATAAAAATATTACGCAATAAATGAAGTTAGCAATTGTGGATGCTTTACAAAAGGTGTTTGCCACACCAACGTATGCAAAGAATGCTGAAATTAATGTTCATGATGACTTAGAAATCATGGGAGATAGGGTCATTGAAAGCCATCAAGAGAGACCAAGGTCTACTAATAGAGACACTATTAATAAATACTCAATTACTTTAATACAAACTGATGCTACAATTCTAAGGAGGTTCCATAGCAACCTTGCTACGAAAGTGACAGAAGTTGTTCAAAGAGTGGCTGAAACTGTTTAGAGTGATAGTTTGCCAACTAATTAACGATGAAAATTCATTGGTGCCAAAGGAATTACAACAATTGTTTGTGACAGACACCCCTATCTCTCATGAACCAAGCCAATTGATGGTTGAACCAACTTTTGTGGAGGTGAAATCAAAACGAATTAGAAAGCCAACTAAGGCTATGGATGTTTGGCCTCAATTTTTCCCTTGTTTTTAGCCATGATTACAACTCTCTTTTGGAATTCCAGAGGTATTGGCAATCAAAAAACAGTACATCGTTTAAAGAAACATATTCAAATTCTTAGAATTTCCTTAGTGATTATTTTAGAGTCGTTTCTTGCTTCTATTAAAGCTCAAGATTTAATGGGGAAAATTGGGATGGATTTCTCTATTATGGGAAACGATGAAAATAGTAAGATTTGGATTTTAGGAAAGTATGATTTCCAAATCCAATTGGTGGACTCTTGGAATCAATGCATTACCATTAAAATTATAGACAGTGTGGATCCAATGTTTCTTGTTTTGTTACAACAGTCTATGCAAGTTGTAATTATATCGTTAAACATGAATTATGGGAACGTATTAAAACTCCATCTGTTGGAATAAACCTCCCTTGGATCCTAGGAGGTGACTTTAATGTTGTAAAAGAAACTACTGAAAAGCTGGGCCTTCAATTTCAATTGGGCCCAATGATTAAATTTGAAAATTTTATGCTCAAAGTGGGTATGTTGGATTTGGGCTACATAGGTAACCGGTTAACATAGTTTAACAGTTCAGCTACTGTTATACTTGACAGATGTTTGGTTGATCTACATTGGAAGAACTCTTTCTCTCACAC